CCAATGCCGGCTACACTCTCGGGCGCTCCCTTGTATTATCTGCTGCCGCCCATCCTCCGGATGAACCCTTCACAGTTCGACCGACGAACGTCACTTGCCCTGCGTCGTCGTAAGGGTGTGGGTTCACGATAACTATCCATGTGGCGGTTGATGAGCTCCTGCTTGACAGCCAGAATCAGTATGACAGATTGACGCCCTCATCAATGTCGTCTTCGCGCAGGCCCTCATCCAGGACTTCGGTGTACGACTGCCGAGAAGTCGCCTGGCGACTCCCATACAATTGGCTGGCCCCCCACTCCTGGGTCAACCCGCTCCCTAGTGCCACGGTCCGTGACAATGTTCCCCTCGCCTCCTCATCTGACGTATCGGGCAGAGGTTGCTCATGCGGTGGCAGGTGCGTGTACGCAGACAGGTCGTATGCCCTTGCACTGCCAGCCCGAACGTGGCCTGCACGGTGGCTGGTGGAGTCGTCCACTGAAGACCTGCTCTTCGCATGCTGTCCGTCCATGATGACACCCTTCTTCACAGAATGACTCTTGTGTGTGTGTCCAAGCACTTTGCCAAGGATGCAGACATGGAAGACGATTAGAAGGACAAACAAAATGATTACCGGGAGCAGCAGTGGAAGACTTCAAAAGACGTTGCCCCTGAACGACACGTAGGGAAGGGCAATAACTACACGGCGCCGACACACCTCCACCAAACGGTGACGAAGAGGGCAGCAAACGACAGATAATCATTGCGGCATCCGACAAACACCCTCTAACGTTTTACGTCGCCCAGTATAGTGGGAGTCGAAAAGCGGGCCAGCTAAAATATTAAATTTCGCCGACCCCACTTCACAAGACCGACCATACAATGCATAAGTAAAAGAAAGCCTCAGCATCGATCAATCCAGCAAATTTTGTTTGGTGACACGCACTGCGAGGGAGAACACCAGTTGAAGACGTCCGCAGAGGCCGGCCGGCCACCAACGGTTACCGTTTGCGTAAGGATCACTGAAGACGAATGTTGACGACCCAAGATGTCCGTGCCGTGGCCGGTAGGTATTCCAATGGACCAGCCGACAAAAAATTCTTGCCGACGATGGGTGCCCTCGCCGCTCCGATTGTCGCGGATCCTTGATCCTCGAGGGACCTCGGGAGGTACACTGGGGAAGACCACAAAATGGCTGTAGTCCGCAGACGCCCCGAGGATTACCGGAGAAATTGTTTTCACATTTTTTCCCCCTTTTTGCCCCTGAGGATACTAGGTGGAATGAGAATTTCCTCGGGGAGTGTTTAACGAGCCCGGGAGTCAAGGTGAGACTAAAACAAAAAAAAAGAGGTAATTACGTTCATAACTTCATGTCACTTTTGATGTTTTGAGTATCGAATAAGCAAAAAAAGCACGCACCGGCAAAGAAAGCCGGGTTCGAAAAAGCAATGAAAGTACCAATGGCCGTGGTGTCAGGCCGGGTGTCCTATTTACAGGGGTCGGCCGAGGTGTCAGATGCCCAACAGACACATTTCGACCCAAATACGTGTTTCCGACTTACGGGTGTCCTATTTACAGGGGTCGGCCGAGGTGTCAGATGCCCAACAGACACATTTCGACCCAAATACGTGTTTCCAAGTCGGCGCCTGTTTTCTTTGTCGGAGTGTGTTTTCTAACTTTTCTTGCCTTTGTGAACTCAGAACCTGCCACATCCCCCGTTGTTTCAAAAAGAAAAAAATCTCGTGACTTGAAAGATGCGAAGTGATATCACAAAACAAACACCTCTGACAGAAAGTGGTAAGAGCACATTCCTGTCCGACCGCCCGTCCCTCAGATTACTCCGTTCCATTGGTGGGGAGCTGCACCTGCTGGAAACCGTGTCCAGCGTCCCTTACAATAGGAGCTTATATCCATTTTCATCATAATAGAATAGCTGCAGGGTCTAGGGGAAGAACTGAGTCCTCCACCTCATCCCACAGGTGGCGGGAGATCACTAGTTGATTATTCTCTGTGAACTGGATTTTCAGAAGGAAAAAAAACGCCTCCAATCCCAATCATTCAAAAGAGAATAACGATCCAATGATTGGAACACGTACGGCTCATCGACGCCACGTTTCCAGCAGAATGAGCTTCTTCTTCTTGTTCTTCTTCTTGTTCTTCTTCTTGTTTAAGGTGAGAATTAATTGCTCTCTTGCAAGGGGCATAACTGATCAGAGTCTCCCTTGCTTCTTAGCTGAACACCTGCTATTGCCTCCTAAAAGGGAAGGTAAGGAAACAACTGTCTGCCCACCAAACGGGAATGTTTGACAGTCAGATTGGAAGAGCGCAGATCTCATCAGCCACCAAGGCCCCGCTGGATAACAGCCAAAGCTAGCTACGCGCCATTATTTTTTTACAAATCAGATATAAGGCGTGGTCAGATATTTTTGACGCTCAACCAATTCTTCTTCTTCTTCCTCTTCTTCTTCTTCTTCTTCTTCTTCTTTTTTTTTTTTTTTTTTTTTTTTTTTTTTTTTTTTTTCTTTCTTTCTTTCGGGATATTGCTCCAATCTATTTGTGGGTTGTCAGAAGCTTATTCACACCACCTACTAGTTTCCCAGCCATTTTTCGCCGACACGGCTGCATGTACACTGCAACTTTAGGGGGTCGCCTGCCATGGCAAAATGGCAGGCAGTGGCAGCCAAAAGGAGCCCCGCGCCAGTTCGTTTGGAGGCCCGGGTAAAAGAGGCTTGGGGTACTGGTGGTTTAAACCACCAGCATTTGGCCCAGCTATCGATGCCAAGCCTGGAATGCCCCTTCGCGCCAATTTTCGCCGAAGCGCCGGGGTACCGTTTTGAATGTTTTTTGGCCGGCGCTTCCAGCCATTGTGGTCCGGTACCCCGAACCCCTAAGGGCGCAGCGCGTTAACGGGAAAGCGCCGCGGCCGATAGCTGGGCCAAGTACTGGTGGTTTAAGACTTTGAGAAGGAGTGACGTAAACAGCAAAACAAAGCTTCACATCCAGCAGCACAACACTTGGTAAAGAAAAGACAACCCGTCATCCTTCCTGAGGCTCCCCATAAACATTTCCCATCTCACAAATTATAGACAAATGACCAGGAGGAACGGGTTCACGAGAGCCTGCAGATGAGCTCATTGGCAATTACTGTCAATCAAGGGAGGGGCCATCCTAAGCCTTGAAGATTAAAGTTCATTAAACTACCAGTACATTTCCCTCATATGAAAACAAATATGCGGCTTGTATACCGCCGCAACTTTTGGGGCTTGGCCTCTTGAGCAAAATGGCTAGCAGCACCAGCCAAAAGGAGGGCGGTGACAAGTCGATTTTATTTGGCGCGCACTGCGCAGTGCATTCCCAGACCTGGAGAAAACCCAGAAAAATGCCCCGGAAGTACTGGCGTTTCCCCCCCAACCCCCTTTTTTTTAAATCTTAGCAAACGCCCAGATTGTTGTAAAGGCGGGGTATCCGGCAAAGGAGTGCTCTCCGGGGTTTTACTTGTAGTTGCATTTCAAGTTTTTTTTTTTTTTTGAAGCCCAGGTTGTTGTAGAGGCCGAGGACTAGACCCACTGTGATAGGCCACCTTCCCTACCCTTCCCCACGTTAATACTCTCAGGGACCCCTTCTGTCCCGTCCCTACTATCCAACCTCAATGTCACTCAGGACGATCACCCTACCAGTATGGAGGGCAGCTTGGACCAAACAACAGTGACAAGCACCAAGACTCCGTAACCTTCCATCGCTCGTGGAAGCGAAAGCGAAAGCGGAAGCGGAAGCGGACGAACCTTGCCATACGGGAACTTGGAACGCCAGGCTTATGCAATCTTCTACAAGCCTGGTTGTTCTCCCTTCCCGGTCAGTGAGAGCTCTGCATCCATCCCCCCTCTCCTCTCTTCCAGGCAGTACAAGCATAAGTTCCCTTTTTTTTTTTTTTTTTTCCTCAACAACAACACCCTGCCTCTGATAGGCATGGTCGTAAGGACCTGCCAAACACAGACTGAGACACAGCTGATTTCTGAGTTTTGCCTTGCTGAGTTTCCCACTTGTTGCTGAGTTTTCTAAGTCTGTGTGTGTGTGTGTGTGTGTGTGTGTGTGTGTGTGTGTGTGTGTGTGTGTGTGTGTGTGCGTGCTTGCTGGTCTGAATGCCTGCCTGAGTGCTTGTCGATTGAGTGTGTGTGTGTGACCCAAAAAGGGTACCCGTCCGTACGGGCGGCCCAAAGGGCCGGTACTTACCTGTGGCCATGACATTGAGGGTTGCAGCCACTCAAGTGGGGGGGGAAGAGGCCCACGGCGCACACACACACACACACACACACACACACACACACACACACATCACCACCCCTACACACACACCCTGACACCGACCCTCACCTGAGTTTTCACAGTCCTAAGACTTGTGTTTGTGGAAACATTCCATCAGCCTGAGGGATGCTGGGCCTGGTTCTGAGCAGGTGGTGCTGCCCAAGAAAAACAGGTTAAAGTGCCTAGTACCCAGGTGTGCAAAGAAAGACAAAGAAAAAACAAAAATACAAAAAAAAAAAAGCAAATTTCAATTCGTGGATCGGCGGCAGATAAATCAATAATCTCGTCCTCAGGAGGTGGCTTGCAAAGCATCTCCCAGCCAGACTCCTAGCACTGGGTTCATCCCTCGCTCTCTCTTTCTTTCCTTTTTTTTCTTTATTTTTTCACTCGAAAAAAAAAAACAAAAACAAAAAAAAAACGTCACTCGGCCTGGGGCCAAAGGGCTCTTATTAATTATGAAATGAGAATATGCCGACATGGACGAGCCATCGCCACTGTCCCCTGAATATTCAGATCCTTTTTTCCTTTTCACGCCGACGAGAGGCATCGATCGCTCCCCAGTCTGTCGAGATCTATTACTATGATCAGCCGCGCAGCTGCCACATCGCATGTTTCGTGGTCAGTACCTTTTCTTTTTTTTTTTTTTTTTTTAACGAAAAACAGCCCCGCCAGTGTTAGTGCTGCTGATAAGAGCAGACACCACTAACACCTGGGAGAGGCTCGTTTCGGGGTCATTACCTGTCGGCTATCGTCATCTATTTTTTCAGTCACTAAAAGTACCCTGGAAGGCCGCACACACACAACCAAGCAATCGTACACTCAGACAGGCACACGGGAAATCAGCAAGCACGCAGTGCATTTAAACGAAACTTAGATATCTGAGCAGAAAGTGGGAAGCTCAGCAAGGCATACGTTCCTGCGGGGAAACTCAGAGATCAGCGGACGTCTCAGTCTGTGATTATTTTACAGATCATGACGCAAAGGAAAGTTTACATAGAACGCTAAAATTATGTACACACTGCACAACTATGCCCATACACAAATTCCAAAAATACGGAAATAATCGGAAAATTTGATGTCCAAAAAAAAATTAAAAAAAATGGATGTTAAGCTCTGTCAGCGAGCACAGCCGTCTCGTCCTCCATTCTCTTCTTAAAGTATATATTTATATATAAATAAATATATAAATATATAATATGAGTTTTTGTGTGTACTATATATTCGATAGCTATTTTCTGTAGCCTGAGCTGGGTGGGGACTGTATCCCCAGTCCCTTGTGCCTCATTTCTTGCTGTCGTCAACATCTCTAAGCCTTGCTACTCCTAGGCGTCCTCTTCCCCTCTTCGGCTTTTGTCGTTACAGCCGTCAAGCTCTCCCTTTTTTTGTTGTCGTCAATATCTCTGACACTTCCGGCTCACTTTCCTCGTCATCGCCATCTTGCAATGACATCCAATACATAGTGTTTCTCCTCCTCCTCCTCCTCCTCCTCTATATTCGGTGGGGCGTGGCAATCTCCACGGTCGCCTGCTCATCCTTCTTCTGGTCATTGTTTCTCGCTGCCATGAGGCAACCTAGACTAACTACCTTCTTCCCCCGAATGCAACGTATGGTCATTATAGATGAATTTAGACTGAAAGATACCCCAAGTACAGCGATAATAACCATACGTTGTATTTCGGGGAAGAAGGTCACCGTAGTAGAGCTTCGAAAGACAACCTCCTTGTTGCTTTCGTGCTCCTCAGCGCCTTCCTGCTTTGAAGGACTCTTGTTGGTGTCAAATGTCCGGCGCCTGGAAGTAGGCCACCTACTAGAATCTTATCTGCTTTGGTGAAGGTTCGAACGCCGGTTCGGGCCCACAGATCGGGATGAAAATCAGGTTGAGGTACCAAGTCGGGCCCGCTCGGGAGCATTCCCGTAAATGTGAGGACTCTTGATGAAGCCAGCATCCGACATGGACCGACAGGATTTGAACCTGTGATCTCTCCGCCTAGAAGTAGCCCAACCAGAATCCCATCTGCTTCGGTCACGGGTTCGGGCTCCGGTCTGGGTGCAGTTCGGCATGAGTCTTGGGTTCTCGGACCAGTTCGGCCCAGATTGCGGTCCTGGTGCTTAGTTGCGGCTTCGATCTGGCCGCCAATCATCCGTCTTCCGCGGTACATAACGCACCCTGAAAATGGATGCATAGACACCACCTTTCCGGTCAGGTACATGCCGAATGACGTAGCGTTGAGGAGGGGGAAGACGGTAGTAATCAGGATGAGCCTCAGAGGCTTAAGGGGTTCTGGTTCCGGTTCGGCTTTTGGTCGGGATGATTCTCAGCCTGCCTCTGCCGCTACATCAGCACCCGGGCATTTATATCTATATATTCGTCCAATCACTGCACCACCAAATGATTGCACATTTCCTCTCCTACTCCTGATCAGACCCCCACCCCTTGCTGCCATCCTCTCTCTCTCTCTCTCTCCTTTTCGCATGGCACTCCGTTCTCGCTGGTGGTCCAGAGATTGAGTTGTTCGCAGATTATCAACTTTTATTATTCCCATCCGGAAATCTCAGCAGTCTTTTGCGTGCAGCCTGCCGCCAAGAAGAAGTCTGACCAGAGTTCAATAACTACCATTAAAAAAAAAAATCCTCTTTTCTCTTTTTCCAATTTCTGTCCAAACAAGTCTGACTCATTCAAGCGTCAGTGTGGGAATGCCATCATCGTCCGCACTGTTACTTGTCCAATTAGTCCCAATCTCGTTCGCCCCAATAGCCGTTTTCCCAACGGGAAGCGATATCTGGTAATAATGTGGAAGAGCAGCATCAGCTTCAGTGTTCGTCAACAGATAAAGCGCTGCATATGTGGCGTTCCCGGAGCTCCCTCGCAGTGCTACCTCCCAACCTTGGGCTCTCTGTGAGAACTCGGTAGTGGAGGCTTTTGTGTTGTCCGCAGGAATTAACTCTGGCTTGGTTAGCGGTGTGTTGAGGAGGACCGTCCGATTAGAGGTCCGGTAAGCGATCCGGATCTTGCCAGTACCGATCCCACTAGAAGTTCGCAAGAAGACCACCATTCCGTTGGATAGTCTTTCGAAAACCTGTTGCGTCTTCTTCAAGACCTCGCTTTGACTTTGACTTTGACTGTCCGTAAGTAGAGTTGCAAGCCCGGCTTCAAATTGGTAGTACGCCCTCAAGGTTTGCGTCCCTTCTCTGCATTGGGATAAACGGAATTTGAAGCCATGTGGAAGTAGCGATTCAACGCTGGCCTGGAGTAGGTTGTGTGTGGCGCACGAGTGCGCCGAGCTTGGAAGCGCTGTTGTCTGCCGCGGCGCAGGTGCACACGGCGGCGCAGGTACACGTGCAGAGTCTGGCGGCGTGGCAGTGCCTGCACCGTCGGTGGCGGTCGCAGCCCCACGGGGAGATCCTGGACATGTGTCGCAATCGAAGGTAGGAGCGGCTTGAACGGTGCTGCGAAGCGGTATCCCAACAATAGACTCGATCCAGGGCAGAACGATGGCGACTGGAGCGAGAACCGCCGGACTGGTCGCACACGGATAGGCCGCCCAGCTTAAAATGCCCACTTGAATTGGTCCCCCGCCGGAGGCCGAAGCCACGGTCGCAGGTCCGCCACTGACATGCGATGTTCGCCCGCCGCAGACCCCAAAAAATGTACAGTCCCAACGCGTATGCGAAATCACACAGAAAAAGAACACAAGAACAAAAATAAAAAAGTATAAGCACAAAAAATCATAAATTCCGTGCGACAAACATGGACGAAAGTGAAAAGACTGAGTGGTTTATTGCACTTCAATTTTTTTTATTATTAATTTTATATTCATTTTGTTTTGTCGAGTACGAGTCTGTATGACATGCTTTCAAATTTCAATTAATTTTATGCGTGTCCTCCCCGACTCATCCGTGTACAGGGGATTCGGAATACAAGAATGTGATGGACATCGTGCTTGTTTTAATCCGCAGCCCACTGGTGAGATATACCCTCATTTAAGCAGGCAGCAATTTCCTAAGAAAACGAAAACGGCCATTTTTTATTGTTCGAATGAAATTGAAGCACCGGCTAATTTGGCCCGAATCCGCCGGAGCCAGGTCAAAATTTCGACGAAATTGAGGGTCCGGCGTTCTTAAAACACGGTACAAAAAAAAAAAAAATAATAATAATAATAATAATAAAAAATGGTACCCTTCTGAACCAAGATAAGTCCACATACTTCCAGAGGGTCCAGCGTTCTTAAAAGCTGGACCCCCTGGACTCCACCTAAGTCCAGAAACATCCTGGTGGTACGGCATTGTAAGAACGCCAGACCCTCGAGCACTAAAAGTTTTGACCTGAATCGGCCGCGAAGTCGGGCCAATTTAGTTAGTTGGTGTCAATTTCGTTCAGAAAATAAAAAATGTCCGTTTTGACGAAACTGCAGTCATTAGGAATATCATCACGAATTCTTCACAATTTTACTCTCGCAAGGAAACTTCATTACAATTTTTTGGGGTTTGTTTTTGGACGGTCACTTGGTTCTTCAGGAAGATGCGAGATTGCCCACGAGAATAGTATACATATATACATGTGATGATGTGACACCCTCTGCCTACGGTTTACCACGCAGTTCTGTTCTGTCCAAGGGCAGTTCTGCCATATATATATCGTCACGAACAGAACTGCCCGGTGAACCGTAGGCAGAGAGAGAGAAGAGGACAACAAACGAGGGGCTGTGACAAACTGTTTCGTCGGAGTTTCACTGACTCATCAGGAGGCTGAACCCTCAACAGTCTGCAGAATCCCCTCACTGATTACACTGTAAATGATAATC